TCGATGGGGGTACTTCGCGAATTTCGGCTTAACAGTAGAATCTACGTAATTATAACACACACGTGAGTGTCGTGACGCGATTAGTATTTCTAAGGAGTGCGCTTTGATTGTTCGAAATTCGGGAAGCACGAATTCGAATGTGCTTTATAATCCGTTATGTCTGAAGCGGACGGTGCAAATGGTGGAGCTATCTGTAAGAGGTGTGCAGTAGCTAAAGCTACGCATACCCTGTTAGTTAAGAAGCCAGTGCATTGAAGCGGAAAGGTATCGCGGATCGGTATCGCGGAACGCGGATTTTAGAGTAGAGTCACCGTTAGCCCGTGGGTCTCCACATGCAGCAACTTCCACGTAGTGAGACCTGGGTCGGTAATACTTGCAATGTCTAATTGTAAATCTTTTAACGCAAGTACTACCGAGCGAATGGCTGCATATTGTATTACTTTTCCAATATCTTTTCAAACTAATTCCAAGTGAACATTAATATTTTTCCACTTTAGATCGCTATTATTACTTCAAAAGAAGAAATATGGATAGAATTCTTTTGTACAATAATTTCTCAGAGAAACGAAAAGGAAATTTCTCTATCACACATTAATACCGGGTGTCATTTCTATTTTTTCTTATTTACTATCATTAATTATCATTTATAAATCTCGGGTGGGACCCATGGGTGTGGACCTCAGATGCTGTCTCAGCATCTTATAGAGGTGTTTCTCTTTTCTTCTCTTTCTGGGGCTCTCTTTTCTATATCATATTTTTCATACTGATTTACTCTTATTAATTATGATTTATAAGCCTCGGGTGGGACCCATGAGATTGGGACATGGGTGTGGGCCTCTGTGCGGGTTATTGTCTCTGCATCGTGTAGATCTGCTTCTATTTTCTTGTCTTTCTGCAGCTTTCTTTTGTATCTCATATATTTTTCTTTAATTATGTTTTTAATTATGTCATTAATATGTTATTTCTTTTCATTATGTCTTTTCAGATTTTTATTATGTTATTTCTTTTTAATTATGTCTTTTCAGAAAATAATTATGTTATTTATTTTTAATTATGTTTTTTTAATATTTTTGTCATTTATTTTTAATTATATTTTTTTAATATTTTTGTGTTATTTATTTTTAATTATGTTTTTATGGTTTTAATTATATTTTTAATATATTCTTATTAATTATGATTTACAGGTTTTAGGTAGGAACCATTAGATGAAGAGGACTGGTGTTTCAGCAGCATGCAGAGCTACTTTTATTTTCTTATTTTTAGCAGCTTTCTTTTATTATTCATATTTTTCTTCTTTAATTATATTTTTAATCATGTTTTTAATTATGGTATTAATATGTTATTTCTTTTTATTATGTCTTTTCAGAATTTAATTATGTTATTTCTATTTAATTATGTTTTTTTAATATTTATTTATGTAATTCCTTTTTAATTATGTTTTTATGTTTTTAGGTTTTGTTATTAATATATTCTAATTAATTTTAATTTTTAAGCATTAGGTAGGACCCATGAGATGAAGCGGACTGTTGTTCCAGCAGCGTGCAGAGCTACTTCTATTTTCTTATCTTTCTTTTATTCATCTTCTTTTTTTCTTTTTCAGGGATGATCGAGCAATCATACAGCGATATTCAACATGTCTTTCCTTTTCTCTTTCTTATTTTTTCCTTATTTTCTTTTTTTTCAGGATATGTCATCAAGCCATAGGTTCACCTCCGGTCGAATGCGTCATCGCCTGCCACGATTCATCATGGATTTTTACGCGCGATTACGGGAAGGATAGGAAGAACACCGGCGCGCGTGTCGGCGTGCACAAGCGTGGGTGTTCTCGGGCACGATTAAACTTCGTTTGATTGCTCGTATCGAAAACGCGAATTTAGAGTAGAGTCATCGTTTTTCTAACACTCACGTGAATGAACGCGGGCGCGACTTAAAAGTCCTACCGGGGACTTCGTTTATATTTGCTCGAATATTCGATTAGATTACCTCGCGAACGCGTTTTTTTAGAGTAGAGTCACCGTTTTCCGAACACTTGCGTGGGTGTCCGGGCGCGATTAAAAGTCCTACCATGGACTTCGTTTAGTGTTGAAATTCGGGGTGCGCGAACGGTTTACCTTGTAGTGCTGTACATAGCTGGCTGATGTTATGACAATCCTAATGTTTGGTAGCGGGGCGGAAATCCCGACAAATATCATGGAAAGTCTAAATACCGGTTAGCATATGTCACTTTGGATTTCAACTTAGAGTCATCGTTATTCTAACACCCGCGTGGGTGTTCGCGTGCGCGATTAAAAGTCCTACCGGGGACTTCGTTTTGTTTGCTCGAATATTCGATTAGTTTATTTAGAGTAGAGTTATCGATTTTCGAACACTTGCGTGGGTGTCCGGGCGCGATTAAAAGTCCTATCATGGACTTCGTTTTAGTGTTGAAATTCGGCGTGCGCTTCGGATTTCAACTTAGAGTCACCGTTATTCTAACACTCACGTAAGAGTTCGCTTGCGCGATTGAAAGTCCTACCGGGGACTTCGTTTTATTTCTTCGACATATCGATTAGATTACTTCGCGAATTTGGATAGAACAGTAGAATCTACGGAACTATAACACACGTGAGTGTCGCGAACGCGATTAATGCGCTTTGATTGTTCGAAATTCGGATGCACGAATTCAGATGTGCTTAATAATCCGTTATGCCTGAGGCGGAGGGTGTCGAACGGTTAAGCTTTCTGTAAGTGGAGTCCCTGTAGCTAAGGCTAGATACTTCCTGTTAGCTTTGTCCCATGCCCAAGATATCCGAAGCGGAAGGCATAAGGGATCGGTATCGCGTAACGCGGATTTTAGAGTAAAGTAGAGTCACCGTTAGCTCGTGGGTCTCCACATGCAGCAACTTCCACGTAGTGAGACCTGGGTCGGTATTACTTGCATAATCTAATTGTATATTCTTTAACGCAAGTATTACTGAGCGAATGGCTGCATATTGTATTACTTTTCCAATATCTTTTCAAACTAATTCCAACTAAACATTAACATATTTTCATTCTATATAGCTAATAATACTTCCAAAGAAGGAATATGGAAGAATTCTATTGTAGAATAATTTCTCAGAGAAACGAAAAGGAAATTTTTCCATCTCTCTTTTATGTTCACTATCATTTCTATTAATTCTTATTTACTCTCATTAATTATCCTTTATATATCTCGGGTGGGACCCATGGGAGGGGCCCATGGGTGAGGGCTTCTGTGCGGGTTGCTATCTCAGCATCGTATAGAACTGTTTCTCTTGTCTTATCTTTCTTCTCTCTATTCTTCTTTTTCTGGGGCTCTCTTTTCTTTCTCCGGCTCTCGTTTCTATCTCATATTTTTCTTTTTGAATTATGTTTTCAATTATGTTATTATTGTGTTATTTCCTTTTAATTGTGCATTCTTAATATCTATTTATGTTGTTTCTTCCTAATTATGTATTTTATTATGTGTTTAATTATGTGTTTATGTTTTTAATTATATTTTTAATTATGTTTATTTTCTGTTTATATTATATATATATATATATATATATTATGTTTTATTTTATGCATTTTTTTGTTCTTTTATTTCCTCTTTATCTTTTTCTTTTTCAGTATAGGTCATCGAGGGATAGGTTCATCTGCGACCGGATGGTACATCGCGTGGCAGGATTCATTCTCGATTTTTACGCGTGAATACGGGAAGGATAGGAAGAACACTGGCGCGCGTGTCGGCGGGCACAGGCGTGGGTGTTCTCGGGCGCGATTAAACTTCGTTTGATTGTTCGAATCGAAAACGCGAATTGTAGAGTAGAGTCATCGTTTTTCTAACACTCGCGTGGGTGTTCGGGCGCGATTAAAGGTCCTACCGTGGACTTCGTTTGATTTCTTCAAAATTTCGATGGGGGTACTTCGCGAATTTCGGCTTAACAGTAGAATCTACGTAATTATAACACACACGTGAGTGTCGTGACGCGATTAGTATTTCTAAGGAGTGCGCTTTGATTGTTCGAAATTCGGGAAGCACGAATTCGAATGTGCTTTATAATCCGTTATGTCTGAAGCGGACGGTGCAAATGGTGGAGCTATCTGTAAGAGGTGTGCAGTAGCTAAAGCTACGCATACCCTGTTAGTTAAGAAGCCAGTGCATTGAAGCGGAAAGGTATCGCGGATCGGTATCGCGGAACGCGGATTTTAGAGTAGAGTCACCGTTAGCCCGTGGGTCTCCACATGCAGCAACCTCCACGTGGTGAGACCTGGGTCGATAGTACTTGCGATATATCGAAATCTTACGCAAGTACTACCGAGCTAATGGCTGCATATATCACAATTTTTTCAAAATCTTTTTATTTTAACTTTTATTAAACATTAAGGTACTAACACTTTATATTGCTAATACTAGTTCCACAAAAAAATAGGTTGGATGTAATGAAATAGTAAAATAATTTTTTAAAGAAACGAACAAAAACTTTTCTATCGCACTCGTCATCATACCTACATACTTCAATTTATTCTTATTTACGCTTATTTACGTTTTTGATTAATTAAATTCTACATTTTCTATTCTACTTACGTATGTCATCGCATTCACATATTTCGGAATTCAAGATATACGTCATTGTACCTTTCTTTTATTTTTGCCGCTTTAAATATTTTATATGTTATATTATATCCCATATATTCGATCACAAATAATATCGAGCTAACGACTGCTTAAATACACTTTAACCATTTGTACAAATTTAAATAGAAACAGAAAGTATAAAGTTTGTACAATTAAAAAAGATTGAATTAATTTATCTTCCGAGAAGTATAATCTGGTAGATAGTTTTTCCTTTCTTCTGTCAGATGTACTATTATTTTTACTATATTAAAAAATTTCTCTCGCATATTAACCCTTGAGAGGGACATAACCTAACAAACTCCTAATATCTATGTAATAGGTGGATAGTGTGCACAATGTTTCCTTATTGCGCTTGTAGTACAAATTTTGCCCATACCTGTCGCTAAAGTCGTATACGATACGAACGATAAATGGTGAAATGTTTCGATAAATTTTGATATCGTTCTGTGATAAGATATGTCTAATGTTAAATGTCCGTATTTCATTGATTTCTTATAATTGATATTAAATAAATAGGCAAAATGAAGACACGATTTAATACGTATGATCTTGTTTGTTCCGTAACGGAATTACAAAGGTAAATAATGTAATGTTTTATACAGAGATGATTTTTTTGCTCTGATCTTAGGTTAGAATATGACAATTTCTTCATTCAATATAATCTGATTCTTTTTTTGTTAAGTAATTATAGTTCTTAAAAATCGTAATTCTTAAAAATTTCTTTTAGATTAATTGGTATGCGTGTCAATCAAATATACAATGTCGATCATCGTACATATTTGATACGTTTTCAACGAAGCGAAGAAAAATGTATCCTGTTAATCGAGTCTGGTAATAGAATGCATACTACAGCTTTCGAATGGCCCAAGAATATAGTACCATCGAGTTTTTCAATGAAGGTAATTGTAGGATATATTTTTTGATGATATTATTGAACAAGCATGATTATTTATATAGTCTTTTAAATGCAGATGAGGAAACATTTAAAAAATAAGAGACTCGAAAGTTTAAAGCAAATCGGTACTGATCGCATAGTGGATTTACAATTTGGCAGTGGAGAAGCTGCATATCATATAATATTAGAAGTATATGATAGAGGCAATATTGTTTTAACAGATTATGAAATGACAATTATAAACATTCTAAGACCTCATACAGAAGGTGATAAAGTTAGGTAAATGTGTGAGAAAAATAATAGAAATGCTATGAGACATTATATTATTTTGAATTAATATTAATGAATAATGTGATATTGTAGATTCGCGGTTAAAGAAAAATATCCTTCAGATCGTGCTTATACTGCTACTATGGCACCGCTCGAAGATATTAAAAAATCCATCGAATCCGCTAAATCTGGTGAAAATCTAAAGAAAGTTTTGAATCCTCTTTTAGAATTTGGTGCAGCTGTAATCGATCATGTTCTATTGCAAGCTGGTTTTGCATCTGGATGTAAAATTGGTAAAGATTTTGATATTGCAAAAGACATGTCTAGGTTGATTGTAGCTCTGCAAAATGCAGATGATATGTTGAATGATGCAAAAAAAAATATTTCAAAAGGATACATTATACAGAAAAAAGAGATTAAACCGTCAACAGATAATGAAGAAGATTTCATATTTGCTAACATAGAGTTTCACCCTTTTCTATTTGAGCAGTATAAAAATTGTCCTTATAAAGAATTCGATTCGTTTGATGTCGCGGTAGATGAATATTTTTCCACAATGGAAGGACAAAAACTTGATTTGAAGGCTTTGCAAAAAGAAAAAGAAGCCATGAGAAAATTAGAAAATGTAAAAAAGGATCATAGCCAAAGGCTAATTACGTTAGAAAAGACACAGGAATTGGATAAATGGAAGGCAGAATTAATTTCTAGAAATCAAAGTTTAGTAGACAATGCAATTTTTGCGATACAAAACGCACTTGCAAATCAAGTATCATGGCCAGATATTCAGATTCTATTAAAAGAGGCACAAGCAAGAGGTGATCCTGTTGCTTCTGCTATTAAACAGTTGAAATTAGAAACAAATCACATTGCGTTATTATTACAAGATCCTTACGAAGATAGCGACGAGGAGTCCGAATTAAAACCGACAGTTATTGATATTGATTTAGCTTATAGTGCCTTTGGTAATGCAAGAAAATATTATAATCAGAAAAGGTCGGCAGCTAAAAAGCAGCAAAAGACCATAGAGTCTCAAGACAAAGCTTTAAAATCGGCAGAAAAGAAAACAAAACAAACATTGAAAGAAGTACAAACAATTCATAGTATTAATAAAGCAAGGAAAACGTATTGGTTTGAAAAATTTTACTGGTTTATCTCTTCAGAAAATTATCTTGGTAGGTTACAAATTAAATATATTTACTTCGCGTTCGATACAAAATGAAAATAATAATTTTAATATATTGGACGGATTGCAGTTATTGGTGGAAGAGATCAACAACAAAATGAATTGATTGTAAAGAAGTATCTTAAAACTGGAGATGTTTATGTTCATGCAGATCTAACAGGTGCTAGTTCTATTGTTGTAAAAAATCCTGCTGGTGGACCTATACCTCCTAAAACATTGGCAGAAGCAGGCACAATGGCCGTAGCGTATAGGTATATAGGATTATAAACAAGATTTATATTTTATGCGATAATATTAAAACTTAACTTTTTTATGATACTTGTAATATTAACTATAAGGGTACGTATTTATGTGTATTATTTGGGAATAGCATTGCTTGGGAAGCTAAAGTAGTCGCAGGGGCATGGTGGGTAAATAATGATCAAGTTTCAAAAACTGCACCAACGGGTGAATATCTTACAACTGGATCCTTTATGATACGTGGGAAAAAGAATTATTTGCCTCCGTGTCAATTGATAATGGGCCTTGGCTTTCTATTTCGTTTGGAAGATAGTTCTATCGAACGGCATAAGGATGAACGAAAAGTCAGAGTTATAGACGATGAAATTGAAAAGAATGAATCTACGGTTGAAATAGATAAAGAAATAGAATTAGAAGAAAACAGTGATGAAGGTATATAATATATAAAATATAAATGTTCAGATATTCTAATAAATTCATTTGGTATTGTATAATACAAGAGAGATAAAATTTTTACATAGAATATACTTATACGTTAATTTATATTATTTAGACGAAGATTTGGAAAATCCAATACAATTAGATTCTATTAAAGAAGAATCTTTTATAGAATTTAACGCGATGCCAAAGGAAAATGAGAATAAACGTGACAGTGGTAGTGAAGAAGATCCAGACTTTCCAGATGTAGAAATCAAAATTGATTATTCAACATTAAGGTACTGTTTATCAATCTCATAATTTGATAAGTATGTCATCATTTTATGTTTTAATAGAGTCGAACTCCATGATGAAAATGATACTATATATAAGAAAGATGAGGAAGATGTTACTTTTGTTGGCAATGATAAATCTATAGTAATAAATTGTAATAAAGAAGAAACTACAAGATTTAAACAACAATTGGCTTTAAAGACTGAAAAAGAAAGTAAAAAGCTTGAACAGGGTCAATTGAAAAGAGGCCAAAAAAGTAGACTTAAAAAGATAAAGGAAAAGTATAAAGATCAAGACGAGGAAGATAGGCACTTGGCTATGGAAGTTTTACAAGTAAGCAAAAAAAGACAAAATATATTTTTCTTATCAAATATATATATATATATATATATATATATCTTTCATATATTATAATATAGTCAGCAGGAGCTGCAAAAGAAGATAAACGTCGTAACAAACATAAAGATCCGTCTGGTCCTAAACAACAAGGAAAGAAAAAGGGAACAGTAAATCCACCTACAATAAAACATATTAATGTCGATCATCTCGATGAAGAAGATACAGGACCAGTACCTGAGATGGATATGTTAGACCAATTAACAGGAAAACCAGTTTCTGAAGATGAATTATTGTTTGCTGTACCAGTTGTAGCACCTTATAATACTATATTAAATTATAAGTAAGTAAATTGTACTTCTTTTATTTTTTAATATTTTGCTTATAGCACATATTTTTTTTTTTTTTTTTTTTTTCATTTCAGATTTAAAGTAAAATTAACACCAGGTACAAGTACAAGGGGGAAAGCTGCAAAAACTGCCATAGCTGTGTTTTTAAAAGATAAAGAGATAACCTTGCGTGAAAAAGATTTGTTAAAAGCTGTTAAAGATGAATCAGTAGTTCGAAATATACCTGGAAAAGTAAAAATAAGTGCACCACAAATTCAAAAAATAAAGAAATAAATAGTATTTCTTAAATAATATTATATTTTTATGCTCGTTTATAATTGTATATTATAAATATATTTAAGTCTGTTTATTATTGGTTAATTGGCAATGTTTCATGAAAAGTGTACTCCAAAAAAAAAAAAAGAAAAAAAAAAGAAAAGGAAAAATATAAAAAAGGGAATAGAAGAAAAAGAGGATTTAATAAATTAATTTAAATCCCATACAAGTTTGAATATCAATGTTCTTGAAATTGCCGTGCTTACTTTTTATGAGAACTTTTCTAAGAATTAAAACTTTTAATAGAAATTTACAACAATAATAAAGCTTGATATTTATTTATCATTATTAAATAACGCCAGACAGTTCAATTTGTTTAATTTCAAGAAATTTTAAAACTATAAACTAATTAATTCTTGGAATAGTAATATAATATCGTAGATATAGTTTATATTACTTTTTCGGCAGGTCGCACTTCAAAATTATTCTTTTCCTTCGTTATTCGCATTATGTATAAAAATAATGAAAGTATATAAAGTTTATAAATAATACGATTTTTACAAAATCTGTATTATAAATTATGTCGATTTCAAAGAGCATATAAACTATGTACACTTAATATAGAAAAGATGGATATTATTCATGATGTACAATATCTTTTTAAAACAACTAATGATCACAGTATCTTTTAATCGCTTTTAAATATATCATCATCTGATACATTACACTGACGTGCAGTTTTGAATTTAGGATTTGTATTTGAAGATTTTGCTGGCCTTGATCTAGTTCCCTTTGACATAATCTGGAAATATGAGAATATGTTACAAGATATCATATAAGATATGTAGTTGCAAAAAATAAAATGGATAAAATTTTCCTACTTCCGTTGCTGTATCAGACTCGGAATCATTAAGATAATTGATCTTTGTCTTTGTTTTAGTAATTTTCGTAGTTTCTTCTTTTTTAGGTGTTCTTTGCTTTAATTTTTTTTTTTTAGTAATTTTAATATCATATTCTTCATCAGGTTCGTCGCAAGACTCAATATTATTCAGTACTTTTTTTAAATCTTTTAATCTAGCACGTTTTTTATCGATTAGAACACCTACATTACTATCATTAAGGGCATTATTTCTAATAGGACTCGTTGCTTTCGAACGTGGACTTAACCTTTTTATTCCTGCTATTTTATTTACTTTTCGTGCAATAGATTTAGAAACGATAGCTTTCTTAGCTGAACCAGATGCATTATTAAATTCTAATTTTCCAGTTGGCTTGTGACCTAATTTATTCAAGCCATCGGTTAAAATTTCTATAAATTTTTCATAATTTGGTATTCCATTGAATTCTATAGTTTTTAACAATTTCATATATTCAAGTACTGGTTTTGGTGTTAAATCATGAAAACATTGGTCCAAAAAGTTTGGAAGATTTTCAAAGGCTTTTTCTTTTTGTTTTTGTACAGTAGTTGGATTAGTTAAATCCTTATCCCATGGAAGAGAGCCACACAACCAGTGTATCATGTTATATCCCAAGATTTCAAAATCACCACGCATTGTAGGTACTGCAAAAATACACAATAATAAATATGGGTATATTTAATTTATAACTATATGCTTTAATAGATTACTTTTATACTTACTCCCTATATGAGCATCTCTACTAGTATACTCAATAGTTCCATCATGTGCTCTTTTTGGATCTGGCTTATATTCTGTTTTTGTTGTATATCGCGTTGCTAAACCAAAATCTACTAAATAAACTTGATCCGGAGACTTTGAACTCAATAATAAATTTGACCCTTTTATGTCAGCATGTACATATGCATTGTTATGAATGTATTCTAATACATTTATCTGAAAGTAATGATAGCATGTATGTGGTTGAAGAACATCATGTTGCAAGAAATTGCCAGGAGAAAATAGGTATTTTAATAAAAGATAGATTTACTCACTATTTGTAAAGCTAGTTTATATACTGTATGTTCTGGAAATTGTTTGTTATTTTCTTGAAATAACTTCCACAAATCAGTTCCATATCGATCCATTACTAAGAACCGATATTTTGTTTTATTATATTCATGACTTCCAGAGGCAACATAATGAGGCATACCGAATACTGACAACTTCTTTTTTTTTTTCCAAGCTTCAACTAAAATAAATAATATAACATTTCGATGAAGACATCATCAAAGTACATGGTCATCTGAAAAAGATGTGTTACAATAGGACTCACTGTTTTCTAACTTTGCCTGTCTTATATAAAAATGCATTTCAACAAATAATGGCCCATTCCCATGAGGTTCCTAACAATATAGAAAATTTATAATGAAAACTTTTAATATTATTTTGACGTAGAAATAAATAATAAAATAAATAAATAAATATACATATATATATTAGATACTCACTATTTTTATCACATTAGGATAGTTTTTTGGAACATTATCTTCGTAAGGTGCGCCTATAATAAACAAACTTTTTTTAATTAAAGCAAAAATGAAGGAAAAAAGAAAAAAAATTGTAAGGAACAGTACATACCAGAATAGACTTCTCCAAAACCACCTATACCTATTGACTTATCGAGAATCCATTTTTTTCCTTTTATATCTGACAATATAGTTCCAGCAGGTATAGGATCGGGCATTTTATATAAATTTCCTTTCTTTTTTGGTGCTCTTTTTGCTACTTTTGCACACATTTTTAGGTTAATATGATTAAACGTATAAAAATGGATTAACACTAAATACAACTGGAAAAAAGTGTAATTAAGTAAGGCTGTAACGAATTATATGAAAAAGTAATCGTGTCACGAAGAATTAAGTTATAATAAAGTACTTTTCAAGTACTTACAGCAGCGGTAATAGATTTCACAAAACGATCGTGTTGAAGTAACATAAAAAAAATTCAAACGCGGGCACCGGAAATGCAGACTGATAAAGCAGGGTGATCTTAGTAAAATTTTCCTAGTCCTTATAAAAGTTTCTTCGCACCATTTATATTTATATCGTGGAAAATTGAAAATTTCTTTTTTATTTTATTAAAAATTGAGATATAAATTGTTTGAAAAAGAGATAATTCTTTGATCATTTGATCAAAATAAAAATATTCAACAACCGGAAATCGATGATTTACGTTGGTTATACGTTGGATATACGTTGATAGCCATGACTAGATATATATTAAAAAGTTTATCAAGTTTTCCCTGCGCGCGGTTTGATTATTCGAAATGTCAGCGGACCGTTAAATACGTTTAATAATTGTTTTTTAATGGTATCGATAAAGTTGATAAGATAAAAATTTTGTTAGACGAAGTAAAAATGACGTATGCCAGTTTATTCCTTCTGTTATTGTAAACATATTTCATGATATGCGCGAGATCTTTTCGAGTTGTGCCCATTCGCTGGTATTCAGTGATTTGTGTTTTTAGGTTATCTTTTTAAATGGAAGATTCGGCGGTCGAATTGGTCGATTCAAATTCTGATATAAATGGTCAATTTTGCGAGTCGGTCGATACGATCTCCAGCATGAACGATGCCGATGACGAGGGGATTGAACGCAGTGCCAATTTTGGCAATTGCACGCCACAACAATCCTCAGAGAATAGGCATATTGATAATTCAATTTTCAATACGATATCCAAAATTGTTAATCCCGCTGCGAAGGTGAGCAATCGAACAAGTTGTTACATATATTAATATAACATATATTTTTACGGAGCATAAAGTAGATTTTAGGAATAAATATTATTATTTTCCTTTATAAAATATATACACATTGACTTTCTATTTTTTTAGGTACCAGACATGCAAGACTTTAAAATTGTTAAACCAATAAGTAGAGGAGCATTCGGTAAAGTGTTTCTAGGATACAAAAAGTCAAATCCAGAGCAATTGTTTGCTATTAAAGTGATGAAAAAGAATGAAATGATAAATAAGAATATGGCATCTCAAGTTATAATAGAACGAAATGCATTAGCATTGACGCACAGTCCTTATTGCGTACATCTGTTTTATTCGTTACAAAGTGTTAGCAGCATATACTTAGTCATGGAATATATGGTGGGAGGTGATCTTAAAAGTTTGCTCGGCGTTTATGGTTACATGGAAGAAAGCATGGCAGCTTTTTATACCGCAGAAGTATGCTTAGCTCTTGAATATCTTCACTCTCACGGTATAGTCCATAGGGATTTAAAGCCAGACAATATGTTACTCTCGAGAGAGGGACACGTTAAACTCACTGATTTTGGTCTTAGCAAAATATCGTCCTTGCATAGAGATCTTGAAATATCAGATTTAGTAAATTGTACACCTAGTCTTTGCGCTAGAACCCCGGGACAGTTATTATCTTTAACATCTCATTTGTCCTTTGGTTCTGGGCAACAATCGGTGAATGACTCGATAGCCAGTAATGAAAGTGCCAATGCTGTTCATTTAATGTCGGCTTTACAAAGAAATTGTGGCAAATTGCAATCGTCTCCTAACTCGGTTGTCTCCTCGACCGACGCTGCGTCTGGCGATTATTCACGTGTATCTGGTATTACACCGTTTCAATCCGCAGAAGATCTAAGATTTGGAATACAGAACGGAGGTGAATCGAATGCGAGGACAGAGAATTTCAGTGGGGATAGTAGTTCTGGTAGTTATCACACGTGCGAAGCCTCGTCGGTTAGTAAAATCAATCCTATTGGTCTTAACGCAGAAGAGGAGGATGAATCTACGTTAGAGGCGGAACAATCGCAACAGTTACTTTTGCATACGAGCCCGATCAGTACTTGCGTAAATTCGTTTTCACGAGGAACCAAGAGGAAAAGAGTTATGGCAGAAATAACTTGTGGTTTAACGCGCGAAATTTGTCTCATGGATTTGGACAAAGACAAAACACCGAAGAGACAGAATTGCGGTACATCGTACTCCTGTAGGAGTCCCGATCGAATCAAGAGAAATACTGCATTGGGCGAGATGACCGATGAGAGCGAAGATGAAAATGCGGACAAACACGGTGATGATTCTAGTGGTGGTGCTGGCGGCGGTGGAGGTGGGGGTGGCGGTGGTGGTGGTGTCGCTTTTAGTACACCAGTGTCCTCATTGAATGTCAAATCGGAGGAAATAAGTCAGCCAGAAGCAACGTGTCAGGAAAATCATAGTATGCCTCCGGTGAAAACAACGAGATTTCATCTTCCGCCTGCAGTATCGTCTGAATTTACTCCGGACTCGAGTACTATAAATAGTATACAGAATGAGAATACTATATCTCCGATCAAGACACCGGCACCTTTGAATAACAGTTACACGACTTATCGAACACCCAAGTCAGTTAGAAGGGGCATACATGGTGGTGGAAACGCTCGATCGGACGAACGTATATTAGGTACACCCGATTATTTAGCACCGGAATTGCTCTTACGGCAAGGCCACGGTCCTGCCGTCGATTGGTGGGCTCTCGGTGTTTGTCTTTTCGAGTTTTGTACGGGATTACCACCCTTCAATGATGAAACGCCACAGGCGGTCTTCGCTAATATCCTTGCAAGAGACGTACCTTGGCCGGAGGGCGAGGAAGCTTTGTCCTTCGCTGCTACGGAAACCATCGATGCGCTCCTTACGTTGGACCAATCTACACGACCATCCGCGAAAGAAGTAAGGGATATGAAACTCTTTGAAAATTTTCCTTGGAACGAACCATCGAAAGCCGTTGCTCCTTTTATACCACAGCCAGATGACAATTATGATACGTGTTATTTTCAAGGTAATCTTTTAATTGTTACTATACTTTATTCGCTCCAAAGTTATAATATTGCGATGTTTGATTTCTAGCAAGGAATATACTACAGCATTTAAATGTCAGTAGCTGCGACACGTAACATTTGTCATTTATCCTGAAGAGCCCAGGATGAACGTTATTGCCGAACGATAGTTGTCACGACACGCGTAATACATAAAACGTGTCAAAAATGATAAAATTAGGAAAAATTATAATAATTATATAGAGTTAGATGGTAATTGTTACACGATATGTATAGTTTTATTTTTATTTTTATATACTGGTGTATGTAGAGCATATAAAATATCTTATTGCCATGTACAAAAACGACGAGTACGTGATGATCTACATAAGTATCTATAAGCGTCCGTAAGAGAATACGTAAAATATGTGCGAGATAAATGTTGCGATGAGAATTTACGACATGAAATGAAAGTTTTTTTTTTTTTTTTTTTTCTCTTTTTTTTTTAGAGTTTAAAGGGGAGTTGGGAGAATGAGCTTAGCTTTTTAAATTGATACTTCACGCATTCTTACGCTATTGAAATGAAAAGAGATTTCGAAAATCACTTATTTACTTATTTAAGATTCTTGTAGATCCAAGGTAAGAAATGCGTTACTCTTGTATAAACGCCAGGATATTGTCCCTTTCCACAACCGATTCCCCAACTGACGATACCAACCTGAGTCCAACGACCGTCATTGACCATTAACGGACCACCGCTGTCACCCTGCAAATATGTGAATTAATTTATATTACGTGATAGCAATCGAATTGTATTATGAAGAAGTATTTGACGAACCGAGCAGGAGTCCATAGCGGCCCGTCCAGCGCACAAGAAACTGTCGACTATACCACCGGGTGCCGCAGAACCGTATTTAAATTTACATTCGCTATTTGACCAGACTGGAATCGAAACTTCTTGAAGTATCGCTGGCTGTGGACCACCTTGTTTAAGCAACGATATAAATATACGATATAAAGGGATGTTGTAATTTACCTTTAATACGTATTGTAATATTGTCATTTATTAAAGCTCTTACTTTCCCTCAAGGAGCCCCAACCAATGACAGTTGCAGTCATTCCGACATAGAGCTTCGAACCACTCGGCAAACAAATGGGTCGAATCTGTTCCGTAAATTCAACCGGCTCGCTCAACGTAAGAATGGCTACGTCATTGTAAAGAGTACGCGAATTAAAACCTCTGTGCCTTACTACTCGCTTTACCCGTCTTTCAACGTGACGTATCTCACTGTTCGTCTTTATATTGTAATCCCCAAGGCGGACCGTTAATCTCGCTACGTCCCAAGAGTTCATGCTGAGAATAGATTGGAAATGGACGAATTACCTAAATGAACGATTCATCTACTGTGGTTCGATGATTAAAGAATTGGAGATAAATGATTGGAGTGCTTACTTAACGACACAATGGGCAGCGGTAAGAACGTGTTTGTCATCTATCAAAGATCCCCCACAGAATTGACGTCCGGCATTGAAGAGGGCAGAGATCCATGGCCATTCCCCAGGATCGGCGTTCTGACCACCGACGATGCGTTCTTGATCTTGATTACCGTTTTTCGCTCCGCATTGAGACAAGTCTATGGGCGAGGAAGTCGTCGAACTAGGTTTATTCGTTGTCGAGATGGTCGGTGCACCTGGCCACCAAGTTGGTTTCTTCGTCGGCCATGTCGTTGGTATGCCAGGTTTCTTTGAACTCGTTGTAGATGGTTTCGAGGTGGGCGACGAAATCAATCCTGGATACGGCGGATGGGTGGGTAAAGGTGGGATCGTGTGATCCGGTGGATGAGTTGGTATCGGCGGTGGCCAACTGGCGGCCGTTGGTTTTGGTTTTGGGTTCGTTCCCGCTTCCGTTCCCTCTCCGTCTTCCTTCGTTTTAGCATCTTCTATCTAAAATGTTCAGTTTAGCGTTTTAAGAAGGCGAAAATATTCTCTCCAACTGTTTGCGTTATGGATCCGAAGGAATGCCCAAGGACGAGGTAATAAAGCGGATCGTAAAAAGTCGTTTGCGAAATATTATTGTTATCGTTGGATAGATAATAGGGTTCTACGACTTTCTAATTCAGGTCTTAATGGTCTCTTCACCGTCATAGTCGGAATTGGCGGAACAGAAATGAAATAGGATTTGAGGAGGAAATTTTACGAGGATAAGAAGGTTAAGAGAGGGATGAAAAGTAACGCAAGTGATTACGAAGGATTCACCTGTTGATCGTTCACGTTCTGACCGTCACAATTTTCCAGGCCGGGTGTCGCGATGGGATTCAAGTTGGAGCAACAGATTCCGAAGCTCGTGCGGCCGTCCTCGAGAATGAAGCTGCAAGTATCGTAAACACCAAGAACCCAACCGTCGAGAGCACCAAGATCGGGTATCTTGAAGTAAGGATAACATTCTTTGAAAGTAGTGCATCGTCCAATCTCGCCCTTAGACGTAAGACAGGTACCACGTTCCGCGGATCCGCTCCAGAGGATGCTTCGACCGTCTCGCGATAATGACGTAGGATCTGCTTCTATAGCGGCTGCAATTTAAAATCGAAAGAAGACAATTAATTCGAGCTCGAATTGATCGATCGACGATGATGAGACTCGTATTATAATTATCGTAGGAAATTTCTCCAGGTTTAATTTTTAATTTCTGCGAGTTAACATACGTACTTTTTATTTATTATTTCCTTTTCGATCATTTATCGTAGTATACGCACGTTGTTTTATTTACTAAGGCTGAAATTGCGGTATGCGAGGATAATATACTAGACGCTTCGGCACGTATTCGAGGCGCATTAACGATGTCCGGTGAGAATGACACATCGCGTACCTTTTGTAATAGGCAGAGGATCGTTCGTCACGTAGTCTTACGAATGATTTTCTAATGATACGCAGTGTAGTAGGAAGCAACGATCATATTCAGGTTCATTTATGTTGCGAGCAATTTATAAATCGTCCGTAATAGGAAGTTTTGTTTTCAAAGATAACTATAAAAAATTATCTTATATTATGCCACATTGGATTCTTTACGGTCGTCTCTTTTGCCAGCCTATAACATCGAGTAATGAGTTATGTTAATCCGTGTAGTATTGTTATATACCGTGTAGACTGCAGACAATGTGATCGGAAATTTGATGACATCATCCTACGAGTTTGATTACCCCGGCGAACAATGTGTTCCTCGGTTCCGATCAAAGATTTCTGGGGACGATCAACGTACAAGTACGTTGGCAATAAAATTCCATCGAAGAATCTGAGAAGGTGGAGTTCGCTGACCCTGGCAGTCGTACTGCGGTACACGTACGTCGAGGTTGTTGCGCGCCTGGAGGACTTCCGTTTACCGTCTACGGAACGATAAGAACGATCGTAATAACGATCGTAATAACGATCGAGGATCGATCAAGATTATTGTCCTCGTGAGAAACAAGCTGCTAAGATCGATCTTTCGATCGATCGATCGACCGAACGATCCGATCCGATCCGGCTGTTATTTCACATAGGTATAAGATAAAAAAAAGAATATTCGATAGGCGTTCGTCATGAAATGAAAAGGATTGATACGTGCCCAGTTTATTTTGCCCAAGTGATATTAGATAAAAGTAGATATATTATATTTCTTAGGTATAGATGAAAGAAACTGTGGAGATGCTTACCTTCAACGACGATCGCGTCGTCCTCTTCTCGATACAACTCGTTGTCCTGACGATCAAAGATTAAGGATCTAGAAGCCGGCTGAACGTTAGACATAGATTCGGCCGATACACTCGTGATTCCCAGAAACACGAGTACCGTTGCAAAAAGCGGAGGTAATGCTCGTTCTCGCCGCATGATGCCGCAAATCTTATTACGAAGCGTTCGATACGATCGATCGTTTGCGCGCTGTCGCGAGGGAATGAACGAAACGATTACACTCGTCCTCGCGACTTCGTGTGGATTCGCGTCTTTGCCTGTGCTGGCAGAGAGTAGAGAAGGTTCAGGATCGGCGTTAAGCTGCCAACCTGCCGGATAGACGCGGACTCGGGGCTTATAACGGGTTCGCCCCTTCCATCGACTGTCGTCGGCTCGCTCTCTAGTCTCTGCAGGTTCCACCATGAGATTTCGTTATATTCTCTTGTTCTTTTGAGCGTTCCTCAAGAGAGAGAGACGTCAGGATCCTTCGGGAAGGCGGACGAAGAGCGTAAGGGTCACACTGCGGATATAATACATACGTACAAAAATCAAATCTCTCTCGATTCTAAGCGTTCTTCGAATATAATGGATCGCGGTTGTTTTTAACTTTTAACTTGTCAAAGTCAAAGAATTTCTTGATATATCGTTTATGACGAGAAATAGAGTTACTGTTTCTGAACGGAAAAATTCAATCGCGTCAAGGACGTAAATTTTAAATTGGTATTCGTCTTCGAATAGATTACATTTTTGTCGTTGTAATATTTCTCGATGGACTAACGATATTCGTCGAGTTTCTAATGAATATTCCAACGACCGAAAGGTGTCATTTGAATTTTCGTTGAAAGAAAAAGTATCGTTTAAATATTCATTAACGTTGTAGGAACATAATGGATCGTAGTCCGACGAAGATCGATGTTCTCCAGTGTATGTTTTCCACTATTATTATGTCTTGAAGCAGCTTGGATTTGCTTTTGGCATGTACGTACGGACTTTTGCGTCGTCGAATGTAAATGGCTTTGCGTGCGTGCACAAAATTAGGTAGAAGAATTTGTGCGCTGGCGCCACTTCAGAATCTCGAGCTATTCTCTCCCGAAACGTGCAAACCGGTTGGCAAAGCTGAAATATACCCGAATGGTACGTTGCACTTGTAACGATGGACCCGGTCCTTAGGACAAGGGCATTCCTCTTAAGTGATAAATAAGGATATAAAAATCAAGCAAAACTTTTACCAGCTTCTCGCATCCTTAATTTTAGTGGATATTTTTTTTTCTTTTTTTTTGTTGTTGAAAATAACGTTCGAAGAATTTGACGTTTCGAATTCATCCAGTTAGCGCGCTGCTTTTGCCGAAACGGAATAGAGATAAGCCTTTGCGAGATATTATAATTTACATCAGGGCCAGTGCCCCCTCACAAGGTCGTGGATTCTTATACAGATTGCCGTGAATAAGACACGCGTAGATCGATGGTTCTTAGTATAATACAGAGTCCTCTTTTATCTCCTTCTCCTCCTCTCCCTCTCTCTCTCTCTCTCTCTCTCTCTCTCTTCACATATTTATCCTCTTTGTATCTTAGTTTCGTTCTCATAAGACTATGCGTATCTCCTAATTAAAGAATCGAGTATTGGTCGATTTAAGATAGGAGAGCAACGCGAAACCTTTTTATACAACTTAAATACAAGAAGAGATAGAAGTCGAGCGTTTATCATTATATACAAGATTCGACGGATCTTTCTCGTTGATTGTCTTATCGATCATCTCGATTCATTTTGGATCCGTTAGGGCAATCGATATGTCGCCAAAATAGTTGTCAGAACGACTTGTCACGTTGCTTCATCCGTGAAGCGATCGTCGAACCCTGACTGTAAAGTCGTCGACACGATTTCTTCTCTTCGCTTGATGTTTTCTTCTCCTCCCCTGTCTCGTTTTCGTCCTCTTCTTCTTCTTCTTCTTCTTCTTCTTCTTCTTCTTCTTCTTTTCTTCCTCGTTTTTCTTCATTCGCCAGAGAGCCAACCTCCTGTTTATCTTCCCTTATAGGTTTACACGCTCCGGATCTCCTTTTTTGAATTCCTCGCTGACTGGTTTCCACGAAGAGAGGACTCGTGTGTGTCTCGTTCGGGCTTCTTCCAAGATCGCGAATACAAAAGAAACGAATAGGTGAAATAGGAGGAGTCCTACGTATTTGATTCCTCAGCATGATGTGTGTGTATGTGTGTGCGCGTGTGCGTGTATATATATATATATGTATATATATATATATATATATACATACAAAGGAATAACAAAGTTCGAGAAAATTTATAAAACGTACTAATATAATATTTATTGTTGCAATAAACATCGAAATAATATAATATCACCTCTGGCACAATCTCACGATGGCAAGACAACGCGACGGAAGAAAGAAAACATGCTTAATATTTCAGCTTTCTGTTATCAATACTCTCTCTCTTTCTCTCTCTCTCTCTCTCTCTCTCTCTCGCTCTCTCTCGCTCTCTCTCCCCCTCTTCCTCTCTCTCTCTCTCTTTCCGACGACATTTCCACGCTACATTCTGAAAATTGAATATTCCGTCGATCGGATAAGCGACAGATAAAGAAATAACATTTCTTGCGATTAGAATACGCTTATAACAAATAAGTCAGAAGTCATCCCTTCTTCTTGTTCTCTCTCTTTCTTCTTTTATATCGTCATATTTACGTCGTTTAAGTACGATATCGACACGGCTCAATAAAAAAGAAAAAGAAATGGCTACGAGGAAACAACGAACAAATCTTTCGTTCTATCGTTAGAAAGTAAACTACTGCTCAGAGAGGTCTGTTTCTTTTTGAAACCTCAAAGAGGATTCTGATAAATTTGCGTGGCTGTGGCTGGAAAAATTAACAAAAGATTTCTTCAGATTCATAATCTCCTCGTAGCGTTAACACGTTTATCCTTCGTAACATAGAAATAATATTAATAGTTATAAGTATTATAAAGATGATATAATAATATTATCAGTAATAATAATAAAATAATAATAATAATAATAATAATAAAATGGCTCATCGACGCAGCCGTTCGTATGCGAAAGAAAGATACGTCGGGACGGTGTCTTTTCTCGTAAATGAACGGCCAACGGGCGGAGGGGTAGGTCAGGGCGGGGGAAAGAAGGGCTCTGCTATAGTTATTATTTATAAAAATGTCATGGAGCAACGCTAACAATCGTAACTAAAAAATTTTTTTTCCTTCTTCATCTTCATCGATATACTCGCATACGTACGCAATCATTCTCTTTCTATATCATTTCTGTTCCATGCATCGTCTCTTTCAATCATATACTACTCATACTGCAAGCACACACATACTTTCTCTCTCTCTCTCTCTCTCTCTCTTTATTCTAAAATTCTTTTTTACGTCTCATACGATTATACATTCTCGTATAAAAATAATGATATAGGTATATCTCTAATCGATAGAAACAATAATATTAATAATATTAACCTATATGCTGTCTGCGATAAATGTAACAAAATATAGTATTCAATAATAATATGCATTTTACAAGCGTATTTTGATCGTTGCTTTGATATCGGTATCGACAATACGTATGATTAAACGCAAAAACAATATAAATGTCGTGATCGTGATATTCTCTAATCTAATCTATCGGATCTCTAACATTATAACGAACAACAAGAAAGCGATACGCGATATGGATACACACATAAACGCGAACGCGCAATTCTACGATAAAATTGTAATATTTTTGTCTCTGCCAATGGCTTCTTTTTCACACTGGTATAAAATATAAACTATTGTATTCGTTCGGTTTGATACGTAGCGATCTGATATTAAACCTTGCCATACGTAACTCTGTTTAAATAATGTGATTATTTAAAAATGGCAAATGGCGAGCGTCAAAGGTAATACGATTACGTTGTTCGAGGTTGTAGGACTTGGAAGAACGTCGGTCGTTCAATGTCTTAACGAAAAAGCACGTGGGAGGTTGTCTAAAAATATCATCAACAATGATAAAAAGTATGGGTTAAAACTTTTACAAGTAAAAAATAACATCAACGCTTTTACTGATACGATAATAAAATGAATCCAAATAGAATAGATACATTGATCATTTTTTAAAGGAGTTCCTAATTGAAATAACGTTGTCGACATGAGAAATAGTTTGGTGTATATTCAAAATAAATTCGAATACGTCGACTTGGTCGACCACTCGATACTATTTTCTCCTTCCATTCGTGTAGATTCGCATTTGTGCGATATATTTTATAATAAAATAAACAAAATTTAAACTCTAAACCGCAAAGATACGATAATAAAATAAAATGAAAAAAATCTCATATAAACATACGTCATACGTATATGTAAGATACAATGGTCCTCTTAAATCAATTTTGATTGATTTACACGTAACGATAGTTGCACGCAACGAAGAATGATATGTTTCTATCTTAAAACGACGACTATCTTATAATCTAACCGGTTCTTCTTCGTCCATTCTCTCATGTAAGATCTTAATCTCGATTCGTGCTTTTTACGTTGCGTACGGCGCAACATATTTTTTTCTTATTCTAACGAGTAAGTAAAATGTTTAAAGTTTGAGGACATCTGAAAGATGTGAGATAAAAGGCGATCGAGTTATCCTCGATCCTTAAGAAATTAGAGAATGAATCTTAGCTCGTTCTGGTATTTGCGCCAGCGGAGATCGATTAGCATTCTCAAAGTTCGCGGACGGTCGGATGGCTCTTCGGAGAACTTGGATCGCGTCCTTCGGCCGACTATCCGTCCGCCTACTATGTACACGTCGAAAGATTCAAAGATGTCCGGATGATAGTTCCCACCTTCACGTGTTTCCACTTTCGTGAACGTGCGCGTGTGCGTGACCGTGCGTCGAGTTGGCAAGGGGCGAATGGGCGAGATGTGGCGGTGACGAGGGTAGTTCGATAAGCGTCACGTCGTAACCGCTCGTCGGTGCCTCCCCGGGATCGGTTGGATCGCTTGGCGAGCCAGGATTGGTAGAATTTCGTTCGCTTACGGCATCTCCGTTCAATCTCGAATGACTCACCTCCAAGAGGAACAGATCTTCGTCCACGTAGAATCTGATCATGTCGTCATCAATTTTCGCCGTAATGCTGAAACAATTCAAAAATGGTCTCGCATGATGCAATTCATCCGTCGACATTTTTTTTTTTTTTTTGTTCTCTTCCTTTCTCTTTTTTCATCAGAGAAAGGTACATCGGGTATATCGCGGTTCGCTAAAGGGATATATACGTATAAACGTTTGTGTCGCATGACGATAGTCAAAAAAATAGGAAACGGGGCTTTCCAGGAAGAATCGAGGATGTGAGATAGACGAGACACGTGATGGTTGCACCGTAGGACAGAACATGCCAAAAGTTAGTCTCGAGCC